TAAATGAAGACAAGACTAAAGTACTCACGATCACTGGGAAAAGATGTGTGGCTAACATAAATGGAAGTGACATAGATGTTTTCGTAAACGGAAAACAGCTCAGTAATGTGGATTGTGCTACCTTATTAGGCGTAGAAATTGACAGCAAATTGTCATTTGATGAACATATTGAGAAAGTATGTAAAAAGTTGGCCTCTAGATTCGCAATACTGCGTAAGATTCGAGCCTGTCTACCTCTTAAACAGCGACTTCAGTTTTATAATAGCATTATTCGCCCTGTTATGTCTTACGCTAACGTTGTTTGGGCAAATTGTGATAAAGAGTCGGTTTATAGGGTCTTAAGATTGCAAAAACGTGCGGCACGCGTTATTTCTTATGCCGATCGCATGACACCATCAGTTGCTTTGTTTAACAAGCTAGGTTGGATTCCGTTTTATGAGCAACATAAGATAGATAAATGCATAATAATGTATAAGCGAATTAATGGGTATTTGCCGAATTATCTAAATGAACACTTAATTTTGAATAATAAGCGGTACTCCCGCAACACTAGATATTCAAGCATTAATGCTGTTTGTCCTAAATATAGGAGAGAAACAGAGGGAGGACGCTCTTTCGCTGTTTCGGCAACAAGACTGTGGAATAGTACACCAATTGAAATTAGGAAACTAGATTCTGTAGCATGTTTTAAAAAGAACATGTTTGCCAGGATTTTTAAGGAACAACAATGTTTGCATCATTTTATCATTTAATATTTTTTTTATTTTTATAAAATTCGAATCCTGTTTTACTTTAATTGTTTATATATTTTAGCTTACTACATTTATTAGATTGTAAATAGTTGTGTATTTTATGAGGGCCACAAGTTTATTAGCCTTTGGCTATTTTAATAGCACTTAAAAGTGCTACCCTCTTTAAATAAAGGCTTTATTATTATTATTATTATTATTATTATTATTATTATTATTATTATTATTATTATTATTATTACTGTCCTGATTTTAAACAATTATTAGATGAGGTTTTTCTGAGAGGATATCCAGAATAATCAAGGTAGGGGTTATCAGCCGAAGCCGAAGGCTGAGGCTGATAACCCTTACCGAGACCTTGATTATCCTGGATATCACAAATTCCGAATCTAATAATTGTTTTATTATACACTGAACGAATCCTTTCTTTCTCGCTTCGACATAAACTGTTTTCAGAGTTTGTGCCAAGGTCTGTCAGTTTTTTCTTTTTCACGTAATTAGCAAACAGCTCCTCTGCAACCTTCGTTGACATTTTTGTGTTTGTGAGTCCTTGTCTTGAACTACTTTTTCGATGTCTTGCTCGGTCAACGAAACAAACCTGGATGTCATGTTTTTTGCTTCTTCACTGACGTCAAACAACACAAAGCGCGCGAACTTGACATGATTACCCTTAGAAATCATAACCTGACTGTACAAGCCACACTGGAAGTTTTAAAATAAATGTATGAAATGTATACGTGCCGACAATGCTTGCAAGTACAACCCCGATAACTCGAACTCGGATAACTCGAAACCTCCGCTAACTCGAAATGGAAAACTAAATTTTCTTTCCCTTGAGCAAAATTTCACTGAAATTTACTCCGATAACTCGAATTTCCCGCTAACTCCAACTGTTTCTCGTTTCCCTTCAGATTTCAAGTTACCGGGCTTCTACTGTACTATTAAAATAGTAACAGAGGAAGCAGTATCGTAGTTGGTCTGGTTATGCGCCTCTAGTATAAAGGCGGGCACAAAACGCATTATGCGTCCAGACGAACTACCTTTCGTAGTGCGTCATTCAAGACGCATTTCGAAGGAAAGTTTGTCCAGACGCATAATGTACTAGGATCTTATGCCTGTGCTTTATAGCGGAGCTCTCGGGGGCGCGGAGCGCGCGCAGCGGAGCACCATGGGTAAGAAAATTTCGTAATCCATGCATCCAAAAAATTTTGGTTCTGAGAAAATCATCCGTACGTACGTCCACCCCTTCATGTAAGCCGGGATGAAATTTTGCATTTCAAGCACCCGCGCGTTTCAGCAATAAATCGCATAGCTTCCCGTCCTTTTAGTGATAAAAACAAGGACAACGAAAGCCGATTCTTTATTTCGACTTAATTTCAATGCCTACATTAACGTGGATAACAGGGAAAGAGCTTAGAGCGAGAGATAAAAATCAAAGGAGGCCAATTTCGTTGAAAGAAAAACATAAAAAAAATTTATAGCGGCGGTGGGGAAAAGGGAAATCCAAGCTGCCATCAAGGTGAAAATGAGCGGCAGCGAAAAAAAAGTGAACAGGAACACATACAACATTTCCTCCATAAAACGTGTAACTAGGAAGTTTCTGGAAGTTTCACGTTGTAATCGTGCAAAACAATGACCAAGAAATGTAAAAAAGTCGTGCAAAGTTGTTTTTTGCCAATTCGGAAAAAATGTTTGCTGCACGTGCATTTTTTTGGCTGTTTTCGTTGCCTTAGCCGCTTGGCGTTACATGATTTTATATTTTGTTTAGTAAACTATAGATTTTCACGAGTGATTCGCTTTTAGCCTTGGCTAAATCTACTGATATTACTTGAGAGGCATAACTAGATGAACTACAAATGTCTGCCCAAGTTTGTCCAGACGGATAATGCGTCCCTAGTATAATAACAGCAGTTCACTCTTACTTTTACCAGTAGTTGCTTCAGCCATCCGTTACAAAATGCAACTTAAGATTTTCTACGTAGAATGGGGGGGAGGGGGGCTGGTTGCCCCCCACTGAGATTTTTCTAGACGAAGAGCATCTGACTTTTTCAGTAGCTGTTCGTTCATCCTTCGCGCGCATTTTGAGACAAGTTTACTGATGGTCAGTTACTATGGTTACGAGATATGACATCATAAGTAGGAAGTGGTCAAGCCATTTTTGAGTGAAAATGTATGTTTTCTCAATTTTTTCAACAATAAAAGTAAAGATTGTGGATAAAATGAAATAAAAACGCTAATTTATGTGTTATTTTACATGTCAACCAAAAAAATTACCATTTCTTGTGGTAAGAGGCTAATTGTCACGGAAGCGCGAAATTATCATGAATAGTACTAGCTATACACCCAGCATGGAAAAAGTATGATTTTCATCCACTTTCCAAAGTATTAATCACTGCAACGTGCACCCCAATGTACGCCTCTTATAGGCGTCTTGCTTACTTATTGTCTAGGAGTATATCCACATTGATTTATTGATTTTTTTTTGCCTTTTTTATATATATACGTGGTCGCAAAATGTTAACGAAGTAATCCCTCTGCTTAAAGTTAAAGAAAATTGAATAAGGCAACTTAGCTTCTCTTTTATCATTGAATTATAAAAATCGAACACCGTTCAACGCAAAAGCACAGCTGGACATTCATTTCAGTCCTTTTGCCCGTCCAATCGGCTGAATGAGGCACGTGAATCGGGTTGGTGTTGGCCAGTGGGAATGGGTTTAATGTATTAGTTACTCCTTTTTATAAGCCTTTAGTGGTCTGTTCTGGTAAACTTCTCGCTTTCATAAAATACAATATTTCTGTCTTGTCTAAGTGTTATGGCAACCCACCAGTATTAAAACGCCTATTGGAGTTATCCTTGCCTAGTCCCTAGGCCTCATTTTTCCTCGCGGCCAAAGCGTTTCGGGTCACGTGGTCCGTGCGAAAATGTGAGGCCTAGACAAAAATCCTCAAAAGTGAGACAAAAGTGAGACAAGACCAGTATTTCGAATTTCAAAGTTAAAAATACATTGCTAAAACACACAGATGGGAAAAGAATCTTCAAAATAATCCTTCCTTTTCTTCAAGTTGACAAAGGAAGGCTTTTCCGGCTTCATAAAATTGTCCTTCGAGGAATGTAAAATACACGGATTTTTTATAACGGCCGACCGGAGCGCTTTGCTTGTTTTGAAACGCCACCAAGCAGCGAAGTTTTTGAGGAATTTTCAGGTACATTTTGTAGCTCTATAGTCAAGAAAATTACGCATTTGTGAACATTTTATCGATCTTTAACGTTTTATACATTTTGAGATCGGCTTGAGCGCCCTGATTTCAGATTTGTGTTGAATAATTTTTGTCATGTGCTCAGCCGATTTTACTTGCGTGAACGGATCCACGAGCCAAATTTGTGTCACGCGAATTGCTTTTAAGGATTAATTTATGGGCCTTTGAATAAAAATTTTCGAGAAATAATTTCTCTGTCTATTGTTTTGTGTTCTTTCATTGATTAACATTTGCTCAAAACACGATCCTGAGACAACGCATGCAAGTTGAATTTAATGCTTCTCACATTTATAATACACGCATCACTTCTGTGAATGTCGGCAAATTTTATAGGAGTTTTACTTTTAGATTCAGCTTCTGGGCACTTTTTGATACGCAGCAAATGTATTTTATTTGAAAGTCTGGTTTTTCTAATTATTCAAGATTTGAGGTCTAAGTCTACAACACACGAATCAATATTGTGTTTACTTTGAAAATTCGCGAGCGGTAAACTCCGATAGCTCAGTTGGAATTGATGAGATTGAAGGAGCAGTATAAATCTTCATAGGACTATGAATAACATTCTGATGACTTTTCAAAGCCGGTCGGCAAAAGTCGATCCCACAAATATCCACAAGAGTGGTTAGTAACCAAAATCTCCTGCTGCCTGCTTGCTTGCTGTTCACAACATTAACGTCATCTTTGAATTTCAAAAAGTAACGGACGCATGCGCATTCTGTTTTTGTCTAGGCGTTTCCCGCCCGTTCGCCTCGGATACGTCACCGAAATGAATTGACCGAGAGGGACTGGCAAAACGCCGTCCAGGGACTAACAGGGATTAACAGGGACAAACAGGGACTAGGCAAGAGTTGCCCTAAGCCCCAGACCTCTACCGTCTTTACACATATGCCAAGAACCGAGCATGCCCATTACATTCTTAAACGAAAAAATTGAGAAAATGGCTTCAGCTAATCCAGATATTTTATATAAATTTGAGTCTATGAGAACGAAATGGAGACGCTGTTTTGACGAGGATAAGCCTGATATAGCAAAGACTGTTAGACACTTCTTTGGCCGACAGTTTTACAGAAAGCACAAGCATTCTACGTATGTGATCGGCGAACTGCCCGATGGAATATTCTTGTTCGTAAAACCTACCATGTACCAAAACCTTAAGAAGAAAATTGAAGAGCAAATTGAAGAGACGTTGCCTGACGTTCGACCGACAACTGGTGCCACTATTATAGAGGAAGAAAAATGGTTTCCAGATGAGCAGTCTTTTACTGAGTTTCTCGATGCTAAAAGAGAAGAACATTATAAAAGTGTTGAAAGGTAAAGTAATATTTACAGCTATTGAAGACTTATAGCTGGCCATATGACGTCGGCGGCGATCACACAAACATAAACAAAACCATATAACTGGATTTAAAGACAAAGCCATGCCACGTTCGTTATTGACCGCAAGTTTTCAGTTTTCAAAACGGTTTGTTGATCATAGAGATGACGTCAAAAATCAGGTTGTGAAAACCCACGGCAAAGTTATTAGCATTTGTTATGTTGTGTAATTTCTATTATCGTTAAAAGAGTAGACAAAGAAAAATGTAGTCGATTCGTCTGGTACTTTTTTCCTATAACAATACTGGAGTTTCTCGGAAACAGGGTCTCGGAAGCTGCTCCCCGTCGAGTTTCTCGGAAAACTGATTTTCTTCCCGTGTGACATTAAAAAATGGCGCCTTCATTGAACTATTTTTGAACAGATTGTCGTGATACTCAGTTCAGAGTTTTTTTTACCCATTGTATTTGTTACAGCCAGCCAATACTGGCGCGTCCGCTTATAGTGCAGAAATTATGGCTTTTTTAATCATGAAATTTATACATGGCTGGGAAGCTGTGGGGAATAAATTAAACGAGAGAAATGAATTTTTGATAACTGAATCTCAATGTGATTTCTTTTGTTTTATTCCTTCAGCCTGGGTCAAAAATTCGAAACTGGCCAATACAAAAGTGACCTCTTCAGCTTATCTGCTTTCACCCTGCTAGTAGAGTCGCTTCGATCTTTCCTAGATAAGTCGGGAAAGAGAGGTTCGTTCCTCTTCCCGACTTATCTAGGAAGATCGAAGGAGTACTCTGTTCGCAGGGTAATCTGCTTTGTTTTGCCAATGCAGGTCTCAGAAGAATGCGTTTGTTTGTTTCAAGAGCCAAACACGAGCCTCATCCATTTTTGACTAGCCTGAATTTCAGACATTCCTTCGAGTCATATACTCCTCTCAGCAACGTAAACCGAAAACCGGGTAGTGAGTTTGATTGGTTGATTGCTGAATGGAGTATTCGACTTGAGGGAATGTGTGAAATTTTGGATACATTTTTGAGCTTCATGGCCACAGAAAAGCAATGAACAGTTTGAAGAAATAATTTGTTAAGCGCTCAGGCGTGACTGCGTGACGAAGGAAAACAAAGTTGTCTTTTTCACAGCCATAAACTGGGCCTGTTTGGCCTTTTAGGTCCTTTCAGAGACCGCAATGACAAATTTCCCTACCCTTTCAAATTTTTCAACTAATGAAATCCGTACCCTCTGATACTGACCCGAATCCTGAAAAAGATACCCCTTTCGGGCGGAGCCTCCCAGTTTAGGCCATTATAGGGAGTACCCCATTCCATGGGCGTCGAACCCAATAATGTGCGGAATACATCGAGTATTTTGACTGATATATTTTGCCTTTAGGGCTTTAATTTACAGTACCAAGTAAATTAAAATCGATTTAACATTTTATTATTCTTCTCAGGAGACAGCAGGAAGCAAATGCAAGCTTAAGACGACTACGCAAGACCTTGAAAGCCAGTCCAGGAGCGAAGATTCTGGCATTTAACCTGGTGGTTTTAGAAGGTGACCACAATGTCGTCCTTGAGATTGGCTACACTAGGACAACTTTACGAGACAAGCCACATCAAAAGCGAGCGTTTCACTACATTATCAAAGAAAACCTCAGGTATATGTGCGAGTTTGAAACCGAAAAATGCATTTAATTATTTATATCACAAACGGCGACACTTCAGCCTTTAAATTAAATGTTATTTATCACAACTTCCCTCTTGACTGGTTGTAGAAACTAATTTGCGCTTCCGGTTATTTGAATCCTAGCTGGAAGGCCTCAACAAGCAGCTTGAGCAAGATTAAACGTTCAACGTAGTATCCGACGAAATCATCGTCATCATCATCATCATCATCATCATTATCATCATTATATTTTGTAGGCAAAAGAGTTGAGACCCTTACTGTTAATTACCACTAATTTTTTTACGGTAAATATTTCCGTGAAAATATAGTGATCAGTGTGGAGCTGAAGAACTCTGCAGTACTCCTATAAATACCACCGCCTATTTTTAAATAGGGGGTGGAATTCATTAACTTGAATGTCTTTTTCTCTGACAGGTACGAAAACAAGGATAGGAATCGCTTCGAGTTTGGCACCTCTGAGCGCATGTCTCTCGAGGAAGCCGCTGCAAAAGTCCAGGAACAGATCGCGGCTGTTAATATCTTAGTCACACATGGCGGAGCACAGTATGCAAAGTTACTTAACAGCTGTGGGATTTCTGTGACAGAGAAGATTATGTTTGACACACAACTTCTAGCCATGGTTTTATTACAAGATCGACGACTGGACCTCAATAATCTAAAGAAACTGCTAGTCGAGTTGGAAATCCCATTTAATGAAAATGTTCGCCTTTACAACAGCGGAAATTATGCCTTCTTAAACACGGCTGTATTTCTGAAACTGAAAAACATCGCAATCTCGCGAAAGTAGCTCACTCAATTGTATCTTCAAATCGATTCTGAATAATTCTATGAGTAAAGGAAACCTTCTGTTTTCGTATTTTAGGTGGATTTGAATCCCTTCTATATTCTTTAAACTTTTTATGGGTCTTTCAGAGAGTTGAATTACTATTATACTGAGATTGTATTGCAGATGAAGGATTCTCTCTTTTTGAGTCAAAATAAGTTTTCCTGCGTTATTGTTGCTATGGTAACCTGCTACGCTAAGAAAAGTACAGAATTTTTCCACCAATGATTGGAATTTAGTTTACGGCATCCCAGAAACAGAACAAAATACGTCAACGTTCTAGTATTACCTGTCACCCAAAAACTGGGTAAAAATACTATTGACAGCCGTTAAGGATCACGTTCACCCAATCAACTTTGAGCGCCTCGTTAGCCTTCTAATTATATAGCAGTCAGTTAATCCAGTATTGTCAGCACGGCTATTATCCTTTAATTTCTCAGAACTGTCCAATTTGGGATTTAATTTGGACAGTTTTCAATATGGAATTTGAGTAAAAAATGCAGAAACTGTCCTATTTGGGAAAAAATAGGACAGTTTGTTTCGGCCAATGAAATCCGAGAAAAAACAATGGATTGTGAAACCAACCAATCAGCAGTGAGCAAACGTCAGCACTAAAAGCCGCACAGGTCGCCATTGTTGTTGACAACATGGAGGAATTCAGTGAAGAAAATTTGCCAAATTTTTCCATCTTTAGCAGTTCTAACACAAATGAGAGATTTCCATGGTTGCAGGAAGAGGAAATTAATACTCTTAGAAGCAGAAACGAAAACTCAAACACCGCCAAGAGCACAAAAACGTGGCTGAACGTTTTCAACGAGTGGAAACTCCAGCGTAACGAAGCGAGACGTTTTGAAGATATCCCTCCAGAAGAGCTAGATGCAATTCTCTGCCGCTTCTTTGC